GCAGTGTCTCCAGGACATCTTGGCTGGGGGCTGCCCCACGGAACCAGTGACCCTGACGCTATTCCCCGAGACCTCCCTGCACCAGGTAACAAGTACTGGGAAGTGCGACACGTGAGGCCCCTGGGGAGGGGCAAGAGCTGATGAGGAGCTCAGGTTCCAGCCTCCCCTCCCACCCCCGCCCCGCCCACCTGCCTTGTGCTGCTCCCTGCCCCTCCTGGGCCTGTGCCCTCACCAGCACACCAGGCAGGGCAGGTCCCGCCCTGTCGTCACCTGACCACCACAGCTGTGGGGATGATGCAGGGTGAAGAGAAGTGGGGACTTGGCAAATGGAAGTCTCTGGGTGGAGTCAATGGAGTTGCAACAAGGCACACATGTGATCTTGGACAAATGATGTAGCCACTCTAGGCAGAGCCTGACACATGGGCAGGGGAGGGGCAGAGGCCGGCAGGGGACCTGGAGATGGCGCTGCCCCCTCTGTGCTGCTGGAGGGTGCTGAATATTGGGTCCTGTCCACCTGCTGCCCACCCAGCCTCTTGCATGGACTCTGGCATCCCTCAGTGGCCACACTGGACATTGCAGACCTGGGTCTCTGGTCTCCCACCCACATCAGGCCCGGCCCCTCCTCCTGGCTCAGAGGCGTGGGCCTGAAGGTGGCCAGAAGGTGGACTGGACGCCTTCTACCCTCCAGCATTTCCTAACAATCCCTCCTCCAGGCACACAACCTCTTTGAGCTGTTGAACCTTCAGTCCCTCTTCGTGACATCGCGGGGCAGAGCTGTGGGCTGCGTGTCCTGGGTAGAGGTACCAGGGTCTCCAGGGCAGAGCAAAGCAGGGGACCCATGCTGAGAAGGCTGGGGAGGTGGGGGGACACCAGCATGCTCCCATCCAAACCTGGGGGGTTCAGAGGATACTGATGAGCCCCTCTTCCTGGCCTAGGTTGGCCACTGGGCCTGGCTCTCCCTACCTTGTTTTCTGGCCAGTGGCCAGCCTACCCCTCTCTGGGCCTTGGTGATCCCATCTGTGCAATGGGGTGGCACGGGCTCTGCTATTCAGCCCAGAAACAACCCTTAGGGGAACTAAAAATGCTGGAGCCCCCCTCTCAACCTCCTCTACATTCTCTCAACCCCCACCCCCTTTCTCTGTTCTAGATGAAGAAAGCAATTTCTAACCTGACAAATCCACCAGCCCCACAGTGAGCTGGCCCAGCAAGATGAAGCAGGGCACCCCAGCTGCCCTGGTGCTGAGGTTGGGCTGAGACCCCGCCTCTCTTCCCCCATCACCACCCATCCCTCCCTCCAGCCCAACTCCATTCCTTGGCATAAGAGGCAGCTGTAACCCAGCCCAGAAGAGGATGGCTCACTCTGGGAGAAACGATGGCTCCTGATTGAAAGCCAAGTCCCACCTTGGACAGAGCTCAGAGCGTGAGATGCCAGAAGACCAGTATCTGGCAGGTGCTCAGTGACTGACCATCACATTAATGAATGACAAGGTTGGGGTATGCTGTCACCAAGGGCAGGCACAGATGCTCTCTGGGGTTGTCTGATTCCCAGTGAGAGGCTCCTGAGAAAAATAAAGCTGGTTCCCAGAGCTGCTGTCCATCCCTCGTCTCAGCTGCAAGGGTGCTGGCCTGGGACATGACCTCCCCACCTGCACTGGTCCAGAATGAGTTTCCCATGGCCACATGGGCACTGCAGGCTCGGGTCCCTGGGCTCCTCCTCATGCTCCACTTCTTGCCAGGTAGATGTCAGGGAAAGAGGGGCTCCCGCCAGGTCTGTGATGCTTGTCCTCATGGATAAGCAAGACCCTGTGTCACTCAAGCCCTGGTCTCCTGCTTGGCTGAGGCACAGCTCATAAGGCTGGGTCCCCAAGTGTGGCTTCTTGGGGAGTCCACAGAGCCTTGGGCATCGTCCATGGGTCCTCTCAGGCTGAGTAGCAGCAGTCTGTGTGTGTTGGGGTTATGGGGTCTCCCTGACTCCCTCTGGTCTCCACCCAGGGGCCCAAGGTCACATCTTCCCCAGCAGAGACCAGGCCAAGGTCATCCAAGGTGAATCCACCACTTTAATGTCTTCGGAGAACCTTGAGTGAGATGGGAGGGAGCTGCAAGGAGGGGGAGTGGGCTCCCTGGGGCAAGGAGCAGGGAGCACCGAGGACGCAGGTTCTGAGAGGGAGGGACAGACAGACAGACACTCCACAGAGACAGATGTCCTGGTGAGGAGAGCTGGGGAGCGGGTGCTTAGCTACCAGAAGTGGCCACCCCACCTTTGCTGGGGGGCAGATACACAGAGGGAGTGGGGAGGGCCTGAGCCCCAGGTACAGGCAGGGTTCCCAGACCCCGCTCTAAGTGGGTCTCAGTTCTCTCCCTGGCTGTCCCCCTGGGGCCTGGCTGTGGCTCCTCCGGGCCTGTCTGCCCTGGTGTTTCTGAGAGTCCTTGAGTTCCCTGAGGGCAGACGCCCTGCAGGGGAAGGTGCCCACCTGAGTGACATAATGAAGGGGGAGGGGGTTATGCTCCCACTGCCAGGGGCAGGTCCACCGAGGCACAGAGAGGCCACCATGAGCGCTGGCCCCATCCCTGCCGCACTGACCCTGTGCCTACCCGAGGGGACAAGAGATGCCCTGCCCTGGACCCCGGGGTCCAGATATGCCTGGGGTGCCCACGAGGTGAGATGGTGGTGTGAGCACAGCCCCTCCTCAGTTACAGAACACCTCGTCCTCCTCCTCCCAGAGGGAGCCGCTGTCCACGGAGGGGAGGGAGCCTGGCAGGTGGGTCCCACCCTTGGGTCTTTGGGTCCGGGGCAGCCACCGGCAATGCTGCAGCTCTGGGCTGGGGGCTGTGGGATGGCAGCGGTGCTGGGAGGCTCCTTGGAAGAGGGTTAGCAGCTGGAGGAGAGGCCAGGTGAGGAGAAGGCCTGAAGGCTGTCATCTTGCAAGGGCCACTGGGAAGGCTGTCCTGAAAGTTGCCGCTCTCCAGGTCTGGAAAAGCAACCGGGTGAGGGAGGGATGGTTGAACCTAGGCAACCCCGGCTGGGAGTCCTGGCTGTGCCTCAGCCTCTGTGATCTTGGACAGGCAGCCTCACCTCCCTGATACGACATTTCTCTGCAACAAGAGTACCCTGCCTGCCTCATGGGGCTTCCGTGATCACTTACGGTGATTAATCTGGGCAAGGCTGACTGTGTACCTGGCACACAGGGAGGGTGCGGTCATGCTGCCCC